GTTTCTTCCTCCGTTCCTTCCTTTCACCCTTCTCCCCTCCCCCTTCTTTCTTTTTTTTTTTTGGTAAATTTATTTATTTATTTTTGTCTGCCTTGAATTTTTTGAAATTTTTACTGGTCTACGAAATACAAAACTTTAAGTCTTAATAACTGAAGATGTGGTGATATTATGGAGAAGTTGTAAATACTTTATAATATATGATTCATGAATATTCACACAGAAACAAAGGAGCATATTTTCATAGAAGAGATAAATGAAGTTGTATAGAGAAGTAAGCTTTTTTTTCTTAGTTTTTTTTTTTTTTGGCTGCATTGGGTCTTCGTTGCTGCACGTGGGCTTTCTCTAGCTGCGGTGAGCGGGGGCTACTCTTCGTTGCGGTGCACGGGCTTCTCATTGCGGTGGCTTCTCTTGTTGCGGAGCACAGGCTCTAGGCATGCGGGCTTCAGTAGTTGTGGTACATGGGCTCAGTAGGTGTGGCTCATGAGCTCTAGAGTGCAAGCTCAGTAGTTGTGGCGCACAGGCTTAGTTGCTTCGTGGCATGTGGGATCTTCCTGGACCAGGGCTTGAACCCGTGTCCCCTGCATTGGCAGGCGGATTCTTAACCACTGTGACACCAGGGAAGTCCTGAGAAGTAAGCTTTTGCTATAATTTTGACCACAACGATTGCTCTATACTACTTCATCACGATGTCTGTGTGAGGTTCATATCCCATCCCATGCCCCTTTTTATAAGTGATCACTGTTGCTCCCCGTTTCCCCTTGTAGGAGTGCGGGTAAGGGACTTCTCCATAGACTTGTCTGTAATGGCTCAATCCTGGTATAGACATCCTTCATTACAAACAACCCCTTTAGCCTCTATCGTGCTCCATTCTTGTTAGAAAACCACTCTCATTTATCATTAGAAAATTTTATTTTTCCCCCTTTGATACTCTCTCCCACTTTACAGATGGTTCATTAGAACCCTACTGTTCCTGGGCTGCTTTTCCCGGGCTCCCCCAGTGTCAGTCTTGTGGTGATCCAAGCACAGTCTCTTTCTTCTTGCTCTCTACCCCGAATCACTCTTCTGTCCTTCAGTGAATGACAGGTTTTATTCTCCACCATGTGGTGATTGGGTTTCCTTAATAGCCTCATGTGGAGTGGGCTTTATTGAAGGCGTTGTTTTTTTTTTTTTTTTTTTTTGCGTTACGCGGGCCTCTCACTGCTGCGGCCTCTCCCGTTGCGGAGCACAGGCTCCGGACGCGCAGGCTCAGCGGCCATGGCTTCCGGGCCCAGCCGCTCCGCTGCATGTGGGATCCTCCCAGACCGGGGCACGAACCCGTGTCCCCTGCATCGGCAGGCGGACTCTCAACCACTGCGCCACCAGGGAAGCCCTGAAGGCGTTTTTATTTGGCCTTGATAGATTATAGTCACCATGTTTCCCTAATCTCTTCCTGAAAATCTTTTAGGAAGGACTCCCCCTGTCAGAGACACACTTACACTGAAATGGCTTTTCTGTTTTAAAATTCTTTTTCTCTACCCAAATGTTTACTCTGGTATATCTCTTGACAGTGAAGCAAAAGGTGGCTGGTCACAGCCAGGACCCACGATATGTTGGACTTGGGTAACACCCGGTTACTGGGGGGCGGGGGGGGTTACAGCGAGCCTGGTCTCTGTTTTCTGTGGCGCAGCGCCTGTGCAGATAATTAGTTCTTGCTTATGACAAGGCCGGAACACGTGGCCTCTCAGCCTGAGGCCCCGACACTGACGCGTGGCTTACTGTCCATGACCTCGGGGAGCTGTCAGCACTTACTGCCTGGAGCTGCTCGTTTGCGTATATCTGATTTCTCCAACTGGCCAGTCAGTGCCTAAAAGGTCGCCCTTTCTTCCCTGTGCCTCGTCCTTTCTCTAACCCAGGGTCCTGCACTGAGTAGCAGTTGGTGAACGTGGTATTCGAATGCCTCCCTCGTTCTGCTGACGTCCGCTCTGCGAAACATGGCAGCTCACAGTGTCAAGTGCGTGGCGGTTCACCCCTCAGCTTTTCACTCTCAGAGCTGTTTCTCCTGCCCCAGGCTTCCCAAGGAGCAGGTGTGTCAGTCAGGGCTGGATTGCAAGGCAGTGAGTGCCTGTGACTCGATCAGGGCAAGCTTAATATACAGGATTATTAAGTGTAACACAGAGAATCGGGGGATGCGGGGTTGGCGGGTAAGAAGAGAACTCTAGAGGGCGTGGGACTAGCAGCTACAGGAGCAGCTGACGCCCCCACCCTGAGGCTGAGCCCCAAGGAAAGAGCTTCCCCCCACCCGACCCCCGCACCCCGTCTGTGGCTCCCGAGGGGCACCAGCTGGTAGTGGTTTCATGCTGATGGAATCGCTGGACATCCACCCTCTGGAATTTGCTGGAAATCTGCTTCTGAGGTGCCAGGGGAAGCTGTTTCGGGGGAGGTGTCTTGCAGGAAGCACTGTGCTGTGGAACCGCCCAAGAGGGGCAGTCCTGGGGGGCGGCTGCCGCTGCCCGCACCGAAGGGCACAGGCGCGGGGATCCAGCCAGAGGCCGCTCGAAGGGTCTCTCCAGCACCTCTGCTGGGCCAGCTCAGCACTGCGCCAACTGGCAGAGGACGAATATTTAAAGGGCCCAACTAAGTTTTCGCGAGCAGTCGATGCAGGGTTGTTTGTGGCGCAGAGGCAACTGTCAGCCGGCTCCCTTTCCTGAATATCTGGAAGGCTTCAGGGAGACAGGCTGTTATTCCCCCCATCAGTGAGTGGCTAGGGAAGGTCACATTTAAGGAGGCAAAGGCATTTGTCCTTGATGGTAACTCAAGGTTTCTGAATATAATTTAGGTGGTGGGAAGCCCTCTAGTTATTTGTTCTTAGTACATGGAACGTATAAAGGATGGGGGATGGTTTGAAGGATAAAAGCTCATGCTTCTGAACCAACACAGCATCTAGAGAAAAACAGATGAGTATCTTCTATCTCAGTCCTCCAGGATCTCAAGAAAACTCTTACCGTGTCTATTCTCCATCCGCTGTTGGAGGCCAAGAGGGCCTCGTTGGGTTTTACTGAGTCCACATAATTACAATAGCAGTGTTTTTTGTACTAGCTCGTGTTGTGTGAAAGCAGCAGAAATATTTTCACAGCGATGTTATACTCTTTCAAGGTAGACTTCACACCTTGCTAGAAACCACGTTTCTTGGCCTGGTGCCCATTCCTGAAGCTGTTGTGTGGATGGTGGTGGAATTTCACGTCTTCAGCTTGGTCCGTGCTGGTGGGCGGTGACGGGCTGGAGTGTTCTTCGTCGGCCTCCGACGGGCCAGCAGCCCGTGATGCTCACATCCCGTCGGACTGCGTGTCCAGATCCCTGAGTCTACCCTTGGACGTACAAGGTGACACCTGCTCTTTAGCTGGTACTTTAAATAGCCTCTTTCTGAGGCTTTGCCTAATGTCATGCTCCTGACTCAGCCTGGGGTAGGTCTCTGTGAAGTTGTAAACTTGTTGACATGAATGAATTTGAAAGATAAAGTAGGGTTTTCTTAAACTGGATACATCATCTAAACACCATACTGTTTTTCAGCTTTGTAGAGACTTTGTACAGTGTTGTATGTGAATTGGTAGCATTTCATCAGGGCAATGATTTCCAGCATTTTTCTTTTACCGTTTGAGAATCTGCTGAGAGGTTTGGACACCCTCCGCAGATACACACACACTTTGTATATACGTAGCTCAAGAGGTGCTCTAGGCACCCGGATGAGACAATGAAATTAGACGAGAGTCAAGGAGCCGCTTCAGTCTCCACGTTGCTGATTTCCAGCCTGAGTCTGTAGTAAATTGGAAAAGTCTCTTCTTTATTCTCTCAGCCGCTCTCTCTTCCCACTTCTGCTGCTTCTCTGTAATACTTCTCTTGGGTCACGTTACCGTGCTGGGATTGTGTTTGGTGGTGCATTACATGAACAGCAGACGTTAGGGTTAAGTTAGCCGTAGGAAGGCAGAGAATGCCTCCTAGCTTGGGAATGACTGGATGTTAGCTGTCGGGGTGATTCGAGGGTCAGGCTGAAGTCAGGAGTTAAGCGTCACAGGCTGCCTAGAGCTGGAGGCTGGGTTGAGTGTATTTGGGGAAGCCAAAAGAGAGATTTCTGTGTAAGTCTGAGAGTCTCTCTCCTGGGGCAGGGAACATTCCAGATCCAAAAAATGGCAGTAGTTGTTCTATGTTTAGAAAGCTTGCAAGGCAGACAGCTACCTGGCGACTGGACTCAGGTACAGAGTCGAGAGCGTGGATCTTGTGGGGAACAGATCTTACCACACGCCCAAGAGGAGGTGACCCGTGTTAGGGTTTAGTAATTAGTTATATGTGTTATTTCAGGTTCATGACCAAGGCTTAAAACAGGAAAGATTTATACCAGACAAATGGAAAAAATAACTTTCTCACCAAAGGATCTTGAGTGAGAGACTGTTTTTCAAAGGGAATTTGGGCTACCATCTCCAGGGTGATATCTCTCTCAATATGTTTAGGACATGGACTCTTAGATGAAGGGAAAGACCCCTCAGTTGAGTTGCCCCAACTCTTTCACCTTTTCAGTGCAAAAAGAACTCTGTGGTAGCAATCTTGTGTCATTTTGTGGGGAATTTGGCATTGGGTCCATGTAGAATACAGTCCATCAGCTTTGGCAGTAGTGGTGTAAATGATTCTTATTTGAACTACAGTGTCTTAAATATAATTTTTTTAAATACAGATTTATTTATTTATTTTGGGCTGCATTGGGTCTTTGTTGCTGCGCACAGGCTTTCTCTAGTTGCGGCAAGCAGGGACTACTCTTCATTGCGGTGCGTGGGCTTCTCGTTGCGGTGGCTTCCCTTGTTGTGGAGCATGGGCCCTAGGTGCATGGGCTTTAGTAGTTGTGGCACATGGGCTCAGTAGTTGTGGCATGTGGGCTCAGTAGTTGTGGCTTGTGGGCTGTAGAGCGCAGGCTCAGTAGTTGTAGTGCCTGGGCTTAGTTGCTCTGCGGCATGTGGGATCTTCCCGGACCAGGGCTCAAACCTGTGTTCTCTGCGTTGGCAGGCAGATTCTTAACCACTGTGCCACCAGGGAAGTCCCTTAAATATAATTTTAACATCTAGCTGTTAGGTGTTGATTCCATCACATATGGTGTAGTGTTTATTAAACAACCCACAATAAATTCATCTATAACAATACAACTAATAATAATTTTTGGTTGAAAGGTTCTACCAGCATTCAGAATCTACAACCAACCCACGACACCACTGAAGATCTAGTGATAATTTTCTTCTTGTGAATTGTGGTGATTCCAACTTTTCAAATGTGTTCTAGGGGTTTTTGGTGTTGTCCATTTGTATTAATCAGGATTCTCCAGAGGAACAGAACCAATAGGGTGTGTGTGTGTGTGTGTGTGTGTGTGTGTGTGTGTGTGTGTGTAGAGAGAGAGATGAGATGATTTATACTAAGAGGTTTATTATAAGGAAGTGACTCACTTGCTCATGGAGGCTGAGAAGTCCAGATCAAGGAGAGCCAACGGTAGAGTTTCAGTCTGAATCCAAGTGTGAAGGCAGGAGAAGACTGGTGTCCCAGCCCAAAGACAGTCAGGCAGAGGGAAAGAATTCTTTCTTAGCCTTTCTTCTATTCAGGTCTTCAGCAGATGGGTGAAGCCCACTCACATCGGAAGGGCCTTCTGCTGTACTCAGTCAACTGATTCAAATGTTAATCTCATCTAGAAACGCGCTCATGGAAACATACAGAAATAATGTTCAACCAAATACCTGAGGACCCCGTGGCCCCGATAAGTGGACACAGAATTGCCCGTCACAGTCCTGGGCAGCAGACTCTGCAGTGGGCACCCAGTCCCTGGGCAATTCTGATACCGCCTCAGCTTTGTCCTAGAGACGCCACATTTTAGACACTCCGCGTAAACCACTTGGTCAGTTCCTAGTAAGCAGCCTTCATTTATACACGACAGTGTGGAAGTGTGGAACTGTGCACTTCTCGCCAATCGGGACTGAGTAAAGGACGTGAACTTTTGGGTCCTGGCTCTTGGAGGCCAGCTGTGGGCCTTGGCATCATTTACGGAAAATGTTTCTGGGAGCAGTGCCTGCCACCCTGGAAATGACACCAGCTCCGGGGAGTCCAGTCCTGGCTCTGCACCTCACTGTCCGCAGCCTGAGATGAGTCTTCAGCCACTTGGGGCCTCCGTTTCCTTAGTCGACACAAGGACCACTCCCGAGTGTGGCTGGAGAGCCTGGCTGGTGGCTGATGAGCTGGAGACGTTCAGCAAGTGTCAGAACCGCTCCCCACCCCCACCCCCCCGCCCCTGCCATAGTTATCTTAAAAGTAGATGCCTGGTTAAGTGTACGTCTACCTGTGTATCATCAGCATGAATCAGTGACCTCGTGGGTCCTACGTTTTAGGTCTGATCTGTTTTTTTTTTAAGCCACTGCTGTCTTTTCCGTGGACTGGTTAGTAGTGTGTCTTCTGTCATCTTCCTTGAGAGGAGGTGACAGAATTTCGACAGAGCCTCACTTGGTCCCGTTATGCTTCACCCACTGATGTCACAAACGAGCTGTTCAGCCATCTGAAGAGGAAAATGCAGTCTCTTTCTCTGTGTCATCTGTCGTCATGGCCTAGGCAGAGGGTGATGAGAGACCACGATTTTAAAGTCGGCAGCAGAATGGGTGAACTTTCCTCCTCTGTTAAATGGCGGTTGTCGTGAGAACCAGTTCGCGCAGGACGCGGTGTTGTCACCACTGTTGGTTTTTGCCTCAACACATCCAGACCTCTAAGCTCTCGTGTGGTTCGCGTGCGGCTTCGTGTAAGTTCCCCACTTTGAGGTTTCTCATGTGTCCTCTGTATAGACCAGAGCTTGGCAGAGTACGAACCTACATCCTTCTCCCACTGGTACCCCTGGGAGAACCCGTAAGAGAAGAAAAGTGCTGAAAAACATACTCCTCATCATGGGTCGGAGTTAATAAAAGCCAGCCAAACAGCTGGATGTCCAGAACACCCAGGAGGCAGAGGTCACTCGCTGATGGTGCTGATGACATTTCTGCGGGGAGCAGCCTCCCGCGTGCCAGGGAAACGGCCCCGTGGAGGCGTGTAACTTCTTGTCCCCAGGCTCTTCCTGACACTGGCTTCTCGGGAGCACGCGTCCTTGAGGAACTGAAGAGCCTCTGTGATATATTCAACCTGAGTTTTCGCTCATGGAGGCTTGAGTGAGGGGAGATTTGGAAAGACCGTGCCGTTCGGCGAGGACCTGTCTGAGTTTGCGCCTGAAGGTCTGGGGTGGGGCTCCTGAGAAGGGTTGGACGGAAATCACTTGGAACTTGAGCTTCGGTCTTTGTAGCACCCTCGGCAGCCAGTGCGCGTTCAGCTGCCTGGCAGAAGTAGCTTTTCAACCTCCAGGGTGTTTGTGTAGCATCTTTCGTCACGGAAGTCGACTTCCCCGTCTTCCCATGACCGCCCTGGGACCAGTCTGGCGTCCGGGAGATGAGGGAGCAGCGGGAGAGATGCGCTCTGCTGTCCGTGGAGCACGGCCTCGGCAGGCCCCTCCTCGCTGCTCCGCTCTGCACCTTGATTAACCGGCCTGTGGTGTATCACCAGAAATCCAGGCAAGGGCAAAACGGAGTCAGTATCAGTTAGCTAAAACAGGAACGGACTTCCCACAGAGACCCCAGGATGGAGCTGTACTCAAGGCGGCCCTTTCAAACACAGGTCTTCCCAAATAATGAGCCGTAGAAGATTTCATTTAGGGCCTACTTGTTTAAAGAAATTAAAAACTGAAATTAGCAGCTGAAATCCACTTGGAAGAGTCTGCTATCCCTTTAATACGTCTGTCTGTTCCTCTCACTGAGACATCCCAGTCCTTCCTCCGAAGTGATTTGAATACTTAATATTTGCCGAAATGCTTTAGTTGGATTTGAATAACGTAATTGAATTTCTCCTGCTGCATTCAGGGTACGTGAAGGCTTGGGAGTTCCTGTGGTAAGATGTGGATGTGCTTATTTTTAGAAGTGATTCTTACTTATTTCTCTGTCTGCGAGCCAAGAATTAATAAGCAGTGGGCCTGCCAGACAGATGAGGCTGTATTCATCAGGGTTCCAGGCTTTATCTGCCACTCTCCAGGTGAATGGCTTGTCTCTGGGGCTCAGAGATGATCTGCCCAGTGACAGGTTTGGGTTGAGCTGAACTGGATATAGATTGGATGCCATGTTTTCTTAGGAACCTCATCGTAAACAGGATTGTTATAAAGTAAGATCCTGACTACGTGCCACTGCTTTGTGGACAGCCTAGGGAGAGAGACAGATGAACTGGAAGGTCTAACCACGCAGTCGGCACTGGGAAAGAGATATGGCCAGGGCACAGAGGAAGGAAATCTTTATCCCTGGGGTAATCGTGGAAGGCTTACCAAAGAATCTTCAAGAGGAATTGGAAGTTATCCCGGCAGGGAAGGGGGCGCCGTGTTCCAGGTAATGGGAGTAGCAGATTTGAAGGCACGGAGACTCAGAGTGTGATGAATCCCTGCAGCGTGTCTAGTGGCGTGGCTGGGGCTTGGAGGAGCGATGGGAGAGGAAGCTGGAGAGAGAGGTATGAACTGTTCTTGAAGGGCCTTCGACGTAAATTTTTGGAGTCTGAGCATTAGTTTAAAAAGAGTGAGGAGTCTTAAGTAATTTTTAAGCATAAGAGGGATGTACTCAGTTTGGCATTTTAGAGAAATCTGCATAGCAGCCTGTAGAATGGAGCAGCGTAGGGCAAGACTGGATTTGAGGAGACTAGATTATGTATAATCATCGAAGAACCAATGCAGGGCAAGCCCACGAAATGGCCCAGGTGCCAGAAAGGAAAGGGTGAACTTGAGGGGTGATGCGGGGTTTACTGGATTTGGTGGCTGTGTGTGGGGAAGTGAGGGAAAGGGAAAAGCCACTGGAAATTTCTCTTGGGCTGCCTTCTGGGTACCACTCCCAGAGTTAAGGGTCACGGGGGGAGAAGTGTTTTGGAGTGGGGGTCAGGAGAGTTAGTGGACTTCGGGACGTGTTTAGGTGGAGGCTTTGCACACGGACATGTCTGGTGGGCAGGTGCGGGCGTGCGCGTCTGGGATGGAGATGCAGGTTTACGCTCCATCGCGTGTGGGTGCTTTCAGCCCCGTTCATCTAGGGCAGTCGGCAGACTAAGGCGTGTACAAGCGGAAAAGGAGGCCCGCGGAATAGAAATGTGTAGTGACGCAGAGGAAGGAAAGGGAGGCTGTTAAGAGGACCAAGGAAGAGTGACCAGCTTAACTGTGAGGGGAAGGGTCGTCGTAGCAAGAGATGGGATGAGAGGGAGTTTCGTTTCTTTTGTGGACTGTTGTGTAAAGAGAAGAACTGACCATGTTTACTCAGGAGAAGGAGCCAGAAGAGAGGTTAGAGGTGCAGGAGACGTGGGAGGATTTCTCAGTGAGAAGTGTGTGGACAGGGTGTCATTGCAGGGGCGTCAGTAGCGCCTAGAGCTGGACGGGAGAGGGTGCACGTTTTGTTTTTGTTTTTTAATTGGAGGTGGGCCTGAAGGACTGCAGCATGGCTGCATGGCAGGTGCATTTAGGGGCGGGAATGGGAGGCTGGAAGTGGGGGTCTTATCTGATGACCTCTCTCTTCTCAGGAAGGAAGAAGGCAAAGCCTTTCCTCTGGTGACGCAGTGTGGGTGTAGGACCTCTGCAGGAGGGAGATGTGTGGCTGAGTGCTTGCTGAAGTTCACTGGAGAGAACAGCACTCCAGGGTTTGCTTCTGGACTCAGCACGTGCCTGTAGAGGCGGTTCTGAATGAACCACGTCATCAAGAAGAAATGCACGAAGCCTCTGCTCTGTTCAGGGCACCATGACAGCGGTCCTGACCCTGGCGGTCCTGCCTGCTCCCCAGAGCCGTCCTGCTGCTCCTGAGCGGGCTAGAAATCGTGCTGGTTGTCTTCCTCTGCAGTGATGGTGTGAAAGGCTGCTCTTTGGGCTTTCGTGTCGTTTAGCATGCTGGCCTCAGTCAGAGGAGTGTACATCCCCTACATTCAATTTTGTAATAAAGTTTTAATTTTAGAAGAGCTCTCGGATTACAGAAAAATTGCAACATAGGTACAGAGTTCGCGTGTACCCCACACCCAGTCCCCCTGTTGGTGAAGTCTTACATGAGTCTGGTATATTTGTCACAGTGGGTGAATCAATTTTTGAAGAATTACCTATATTTTATTTCTTTATTTCCAAACCTTCTTGCTATGGCCTTTTCAGTTACCTTTGACAGTGGGAGGAACTCTTGTTTACTCATGATTCAGAAACTTGAGTCGAACCAATAATTTGAATGGCCTCCCTCCCTGTGTTTTGGGGATTGTTTTGTCCTAAACCCTGTTTCTTATCTCCTGCAGAAATCATACAATGGATGCAGAAAAGAAAAATGCTGCAGAGGAAAATAAATATCAACTGGAATTTTATCAAGTCAATATGGCCCTGATGTCAGTTATATTATTTAAAAAGTGTTATTACCTAGTAAATGCAGTTTGTTAGACAGAAATCTTTTTTTAAAAATAGTTGCATGGACGATAAATAATGAAAAGACTCTTTTCTTTCGGTGAAAAGGTGGTGTATCATCGCCAGTGATAACAGCCCTTTATCCTCTGTGCCTCTAGATAGCACTGATTTTATGCTGGCCTGTAATTGACAATCTATACAGTTTGAAATAAAAAAGTCTCTTCTGGTTAAAATTATGTGTGTGTTCACTAGCACCCTCTCTGGCCTCACGTCCCACTCAGCCGAACACAGACCTAGGATCCCCTTCTAGTTCCTGCTGAAGTACAGTTGTAACAGTCATTCAGGAACAACTTGGAGTTTGCTGGGAATTTTGTAAGTAAGAAGGAGGAGAGCATTTGCGTCACGTAATCTGCAGTGAAATCCTCCTGAAAACCTTGTAAATGAGCCCCTCCCTTCTCTCCAAGCCCCTTTTTGTGTTGTCAGCCGGGAGTTGCTGGTCTGAGCCATTCCTCCAGGTAGAACTTAATTCTCCGGCGCTCACGTTCCAGCACCTGGAAGTCTCAAAATCCTTCAAAAAGAAACCCTGTTCGTCATGCAGACGGCTCTCAGATTGCGCGGCACCTTTAGGTTTTCACTTCCCGGCCCGGTTATTATCCCGCCAGAAGAACCCCTTACGCTCTCCTCAACTGCCAAAGGATTCTCTTTCCTTGTTACTCGGAGATTATTGTTTTTTATTTTTTTCCCGTCTAATTAAGCTGGTAATCTTTTGAATCGGATCCTTCTAAATAGAGTCATACAGCCAAATCCAACAGTTTTTAAACAGCAGCTTGCAGAAATGCTTCATTCCAAGACAAAGCACATGAGCAGGCCAGAATGTCCTTTGGGGGCTGTTGAGATTTTCATGGCCCTGCTTCTCCATCTCTTCCTCCTCCCCCGGTCCTCCTCCTTCTCCCCTCTTCCTTTTTATTAAAATGCCTGAATCCACTGCTGTCACCTCATTCAGCCTGTGTACTTCACACTCTTTTGTTTGGCTGAATCACCTGTGACACTTTTCCGTGAACATTATCTTGGGTGATCCCTTCACTACTCGTGTTTCCTGCACTTGCATTTGACATTGTGCAGGTAAGGATGCTGTTGTGGTCTGTCTCCTAGGGCTTTAGACGTTTGCTCTCTTACCTCGGGCGAAGATTGACTTAATGAACGTAGAATTAACTAGACTGGTGGTAAAGTAGGGGCTGATTGACTGACCAGCTGGTTAAAATTTCAGATGCTGTTGGAGTGACCTGATTGTATTTGTTCTAATGTTCTAATGCAGAAGTGCTTTGTCACTGGAAAGCATTGTATCTGTTTCTCTTTCACCTTCCTAGATGTTGTCTTGATGCTGCTACCAGCTTCCTGTTCCCGTACTTCCTTAGTTTGTTGAGGTTATTCAGAAAATGAGCCTGGTTCTTTCTCTGTGGCATTGGGCCGGTCCCCCAACCTGCTGCCTGAGCCCAAGCATCTCAGGCAGAAGAGCTGGGATTATTTCATAAGCATTAAGGTCAAGTTAAGATGCAACGAACGTGTGCTCTCGTGCATCCGCAGCCACATAGGGACTCCTTGAATTCAGGTTTTGTTTTGATTATTCTGTGCTCTGTCATCCTTCAGAGTTTTATAAAATGAACAACAGCATCACAGACCCATGTCTTTTCCTTCCAGAGGGTTTTTCTTCTGAACCACTTTTGGGTTTGAGCAGCATTTCTTCCCCTTTCTCACCTGCATTAGGATTATTTCTTTGTCTAGCTCTCAAAGCGGTTATTTTCCTCATTTCGCTTGCTGTTTTCCTTTGGTTCTCTTCCTTCCTTGGATAAGGAGGACAGGGCTGAGAAAACCTGCGTCAAGCACTGGTGTCCTGATAGGGACCCAAGGGTCACCAGCCTCCCTACACCCGATAGTGCCCTTGAGGTCCACGTGGCCTCCACCACGCAGACCCTTCCTGTTGCTGGTGCAACACTGTCGTAGCTAATGTTTGGTTCTAGTGCAGTCCCCCTCAAGTTACTGTTCACACTGACGCACTGGCACATATGAAGGCGTTCGAAAGGCAGACCTAATTTTCATGCTTTGAGGGATTTCTTGGCCCTTGTGCAGTAATATATGGCTTGCCTGGGATAAACCGTCAGTGTTTTGTGGAGGGTGCTGCAGCAGCGTCAGTGTGTGGGGCCAGGCTTCCAGGCTTCTCCTCTCTCCTCATGTTTTCTGTCCAGTTCTTAATCGCATCCATCTGACCATGGATCCTTTTCACACCAAAGCTGAAGAGATGATCATGTATATGCTGTCGTGGAAATAACCACAGAGCCTGGAGGATGGGGTCACAAATCAGAGTTTGGTTTGAATTCAGGCTTCATCACTTGCTGTGCAGCAATGGTCAGTTACTTAACTTCTGTAAGCCTCAAGTTCCCTACCTGAGAAATGGGGAGAGAATAAGGATGGTGAGGATGAAGTGAAGCCCTAGAGTAAGTAAGGGAAGCTCTCAGGAAGGCAGCAATAGCAACTGTTAGCCAATAGTAGTCCAGGCAGCAGCTGCGGTGAAGTCAGTTACAGCGTTGTTGCATCTGCACGGAAACTCGGAGAGAGGCGGCGAGGGAGGGGGAGGGGTTGTTTAGCATTAATATGCAAGGTGGACGATATGGATTAAACGAGTGATCAATGGACAATTCTAAATGGCTGAATAGAAAAATGGCTACTTTGGGAACCACAGGCCAGCCCTAAATAACTGCTTGAAGTTGTGCTGTCATCCAAGCCCCATTTATACTTGCCCGCTCGTAGGATTTTGCATGGATGTGTTATTCTTCTGACCATTTGCCTTTTTATTTGCTTTTAAATGTGTGGTTAAAATCTGGGCCATTTTGAAAAATCCTTTTGGCTTTCTGAATTTTAAATTGAATTGGCTTTTGCAATCTATTTTTATTCTTAAGCCTGATTAGAATTAATTTCCCGCACCTGTTCTTTTCTCATTTGTGAACTACCTGCCCTGGCTTCTGCAAGCTGTTCCAGTGGGGGTGGAATTCGTCTTCTGGGTCGTTGAGGTTTCTGCAAGGACACGTAAGAAAATGTCAGAGAAATAGAAGAAATCCTAGTGGAGAAGCAAATGACACAGCCTAATGTGTGCAGTTAATGGAAATCTAGTTTTATCACCAGCGGATGTCTCTCAAACAGAAAGCTAAGTGAGAGGCAGCCACTTTAAGGGCCCTGGAACCGAGGCTGAGATGAGTGATTTATTCCCAGCGTGGGGACTAATTGGCTAAGTGATCTTAGCTTCTCTGGGTCTTCGCCTCTCTGCAGTTCATTTCCTTATTTGGGGTTGGCTGGGCTGCTCTCTTCAAGTCCCTTCTAGCTCCAATGTTACATTTCCTCTAGAAATAAGAGCTGACTTGTGTACATGGTTTTATTCTCCTGTGCTGTTTTGTGTTGAGGGTGTTATGAATTACTGCTTTTCCTTCTTTCAGAGTTTTCCAAACTTTAGTCTTCAGTATACGTTATGGGTATTTTTTGGTTATACCTATGTATTGTTAATACTGTAGATATTCGTTTTTAAAAAATAGTCTTCAAATGACTGACTTCTTTTACTTAGCATTGTCCTAAGCTGTACTACCTGGGGGAAGATACTTTGAGATGATGTCATCTTTCTCATCATATTTTGCCCCAGTATCTTTATCATCCATTGCTAATTATTGTCTGAAATGATCACTACTCTGGTGTTTGTCAGATGGTTGTTTTCTTTATCCATCATTCCTTTTCAAATTATTTTTTAGAATTTTACTTTAACGACGATCTTTAATTGAATAAATGTATATGGGAGAAGGTAATCATTTATATTAGCGTGGTTTCATGTGGATATTTCTTTATTTTGTGGGTTAGGGTCCATTACTAAAATTATTTGTTTTGTTGCTCAAATTGACCCAGATTTGGCCATTGGGAGCCTCTTCAAGGAGTCTTCAGTGTCCTTTGACATGTTCTCATCATTTTTTGGCCCCAAATGATGTCCCACGTTCATCTTATATTTTCTCTGGCCCAGCCCTGAAAGTCATTCATTTCTCTAAGGAGCCCTGCTTTTTTTTTTTTTTAAATAAAAAATGGTATTTAGAAGCCCAGACCTGAGTACAGCTATTGCTAGTGGGATGTCACCACTTCTAGGTCCCCCTCAAAGGACAGGAGTGGGCAACATATGCACACCTACTTCTGTTTCTATATCTGTATATGTATTTAGAAACATGAATTCATATGGGTGCCTCCAATTCCAAGTCACTACCACGTGGCTTATTCTAGCCCCTCCCCATTTTCTTTGACAGTGACTGTGAGAAACCTGGTTCCCTTTACCCACAATATATTTACTTACTTGATCAGTTCTTGAATGAACATAAGGTAGTTTCAGAAAAGTGAACACATACCTCTGCAGAACAAAGTTTACTATCCAGTGTACAGTACTTGCTGTGATTATTTTGTCTTTAACCTCAGAATATCCAGTTAAAATGCTGTTTTTCAAATTTGCTTTCTTAATTCTTTTCTTCTCCACTCTCTTCCATGCGGCTATCTCATTGTTTAGAGTAGAATTGGCTCTATTGTTGCTGATCCCATTCCATTTTGAGTTTTCACCACATCTGGGTGGATTTTAATTATTTTTTAAAGTTTTTGAGTACATAAAATTTTAATGTGATTCCGCAAGTCAGAACTATACAAAAAGTCTACTTAGAAGAGTGTCCCTCCTCTCTTTGCCCCCTTCCCACCACCTCCTCTTTTTACTCCATCCTATTCCCCAATTCTTTTCATTCTGCAGTCTGCTACCACCCACTTTCTGGTAGGCAGTGAATCTCTTTCATTTCTGATTCATCATTTCTATGAAGTTTGTTTATTTTTGTTTTATACGAATGAGCAGGTTCATGTATATTTTATTATTTTCCCTTCTTTCTTACATGAAAAGTACCACAATAAGTTTCGAAAAAGTAGCATATAATATATGATCTTTGCACTTTGCTTTTTTCATGTAGCTTAGAATCATTACATATCACTTCGGAGACGTCATCCTCATTTTTTATTAGGTCTCTTAAGTACTCCATTGTATGGGTAGACCATAGTTTATTTAACATCTCTCTTTCGTCTGGACATTTCTTTGTTTCCAGTACTTCGCAATTATAAACAATGCTACAGTGAAAACCTTATTACGTATATATTAATTCTGGAGGTGTATTCAGGGTGAATAGCCAGAAGTAGAAGAACTAGGTCAGGAGGTGAATTGCAAATGTAGTTTTGTTGGATATTGACAAATTTACCTCCAAAAGGGTTCTACCCATTTTCACTTCCGTCAACAGTGTATATGAGAGTACATCTTTTCCCAAGCCTCACCGAAAGAATGTTGTCGTGCTTTTTAATTTCTACCAGTACAACAGTTTAAAAATAATGTCAGTGTTGTTTTAATATGCATTTCTCTGTTTGAATACATTTTCATAGGTTTAAGGGTCATTTTCATATATATATATATATATTTGGTGAATTGTCTGTTCATGTATTTCTCTCATTTTTCTATTGAATTTTTGGCCCTTAAACCAATGAGTTTATTCCACTTTCACTCTCTCTTTTTTCCATTTTTTGGTTATATTATTTCTACTTTGTCATGATATATAAGAATTATATTTTAATCTTCCAACTTAATATCTGGCTTTGTTTTAGTCTCAGATCTGCAATTTCATGTATTAATGTGTTATCCATCAGTTTTTTTTGGGGGGGGGTTTGAAATTTTCCCAGTTATCTGTTGCTTGAGTAAAGCCCATGCTTTGGTGGATCCTTCAAAAGGGCTCATTCATGTGAAATTCCCTGTGCTCTTGTATGTTTAAAGCTTTTTCTATAGACTTGGTACTGAAAGGCCAGCGTTGCTGGGTATAAAATTCTTGGTCCATTTTTTTTTTTTTCTGAGTTTGAAAATGTGAGGTCATTGTTGCCTTTTTTGTATGTTGTTTTTGAAGAGTCTGATGCTAGTCCAGTGGGTTTGCCTTTCTAAGTTGTTTGATCTTTTTGCTTGGAGGTCTTGAGTATTTTTTCTTTTCATCTTTGAAGTCTAATAGTTCTACTAGGATATGTCTTATATTCGGTTCTTCAGGTATCCATTTTACATGGTGCCCATTATTTCTCCTCCGCTGTTTTTTTTTTCCTCTTTCACTGACTCCAGTTATATAAATGTTATTTCTTCTTTGCCTGTCTTCCATTTCCACCATTTTCTCTCTGATTCTTCTTTCTTTATCTCATTGTCCTTTTCTTAGTTGTTTTCCTGCTTTTCTTCAATTCTTCTTGCTAAATCTTTGAGTCCATTATTCCTTGCATATCTTGTAACTTAAACTTAAGTTCTGAGACGATTTTTTTCCTTCTCTTTCTTTCCTCAGTTCACAGTTTTCTGTTTTTCATTCATTTTTGTTCTTAACATTTACATTTCTGGCCCAAGCAATATTCCCAAATGCTTGTTTGAGCAGATTTAATTTAGTTTGCAAGTATCATCTTACACTTTTCTTCTGCTTCTTGATTTTCTTTTTTGGGGGAAGAAGATTAGATTTTCATCATTTGAGCTGTTTTGAGTGAATTTTTTAATTCTTTGTGATAATTTTCTATAGTTCTGTTGAATTTTTTTTTTGTTCCTTTTTGTGGGCTGTTGGTTGTTTAGATTTTGTAGTTCTCTGGTGCCCTCTTCTGTTAGTGTAGCAAAGTGCAGAGTCTTTAATGGAATCTTTTTGTTTGTTTAGTGGAAGATGGGGAATAGTTTTGTAAATCCTCTAATTTTTTAAGTTTGTTTTATTTTGTACAACCCTAAATTTTCTCTTTTGCTTCTTTTACTCCTCCCTACCCAATGGCCAAAAAATATCTTACTTTCTTTTGCCCCTTTCTCTTCCATTGCAACCATGCCTTTTGAAAACTGTAGCTTCAAACTGGGCATACATTTAAGTCCCTTTTCTGTAGTCCCTCATCAGATCTGCTAGGATACTCTTAGGATGTTCACACTTATTTCTTCTGGTGGTGATTTTAGATCAACCTAGTTCCTCACTGGTTCCCTTCTTCTCTCTTACCCTCAGTTTTTCTCAGCTTGTCCTTAATTACCCCAAACGAAAAAAGCAGGCTGGGAGTACAATAGCACTCTTTCTCTATGGCAGTTAGCTTTGCTTCCTTCCTTTCTTCCTTCCTTCTTCTTTACATACAATTATTTGAAGTTGGGTCACTGTTCTGTTTCCTTCTGAGGGCACGGTGTTTAGTAGTTTGATGTTCTGTTGTTGTTGTTCCAAGTTATTTTTAGAGGAAATATTGAAAGACGTAGACTCTGGCAGCTGCATTGTCTTTAGCTCTCATAGGAATGATTTGAGACCTTGGGAAGTAGAATCTTTTGTGGAAAGATTTGTGTTTGATTCTGCTGAGCACTTAGAGGAACCAGCATTCTGGGGTTGCCTTAGTCCATTTCCACAGCCTGAAGTTCTCTCTGTTACCCAGGTAAGGTGACACCTGGCTGGAAGTCTTTATAAGAAGTAGTCACTTTTGTATTCATTCTTACCATGAGGATACATCCTTCAGAGCACTTATCTAGCATCCCAACTTGGTCAGACACTGTGGGCTTCCAATCTGGCCTCCCTTTTATTGATAAGCTGTCACAAGCAATGTTCAGCGTTCAGTTGAAGTTGGGAAAGGCAGAGAGTCTCAGTATTTCTCTCTGGCTTTGTGTCGGGCTTTTTTCTGGCTTTGTGCTTCCTCACAGAGTTTTGTGTAGTAAATCCTCTCTATTGTGTTACTTCTTTGATGCTTTTAAGAATTTTTGTAGTTTTTAGTAGCTTTATCAGGAGATTTGGTTCTAATTATCCAGCCCGTTATTACTTTGAAACAGCAATTGTTTCATTCTTTGATTAAAATAATTTTTGATTTCATGGGACTTTGGGTGGAAAGAATGATAGATTGATTTGGTCAGTTCTCCACGTTGAGTCACTCACCCAGCAGGTAAAGACCTGCTTTGTTGTTAAAGATGGAACACTTTATTTTTGTGCTTAAGCAGCTTCAGACTGATGACAGCTGTGATTAGTAATGGTGATTGTGATGACAGAGAGGACAGTGTATTAGCTATTGCAATGTGCCAGGTACTCCATGCCCTTCATGCATTCTTTTATTTAATTATCATGAAGTCTCTTAATTTATTATTCTCATCTTTCAAACCATTACCTGAAGCTTAGCTCCCATATCACTTTTTGGAGTTTACTGGATAGCAAATGGCAGAAACACATTTCAGGCCTTGTCCTGACCTTTGGAATTACAGGGTAGCAAAGTCCAGCACACTTCCAGTTTAGGAGGGCTTCATAGGACTTTGTTCCTAGACTGTGCTTTCTTACCTAGTCTCAGGTCACACTTTAAGGACAGTGAAAACCCGATTCACTGGTATTTGCACTAGCATGGAGAATAATGTGTCTTGTGAGGAAATGACTGCAAAGAAGTTAGTGCAAAAGGAAAATGGAGAGATGAGCAAAGATCAGAATGGTGTCTTTTAATTTCCTAAAGACTCTCCATTACATGTAGCCTAGTGCTTTGTTCAAAGTTGATACCAAATGAATGTTAACATCAGTATGTTCATTGACTCTTAAGACTTCCTGGGTTTTGTTTCCACATTATGTCTTTTGATACAGACTCTGGTCACGATGCTCTTTTTATTTATTTATATTATTCCTCTTGGTTCACAGTTATTTGCTGGCGTAAAGGATGGAGAAAACCTGCAGCTTTTCGAACAGAGTTCTCGCTCTGCCCATAAACAGGAGACACATACCCTGGAGGCCACGAAGCTTGTAGAGTTTGACCTTAAGCAAACACTTACCAGGCTTATGACACATCTTTTTGGAGATGGTAGGTACTAAATGCCTTTGTCTTTGGGGGCTTAAATATTCAACAGTTACCATCTTCCTGAAATCATTAAGCCTACTGTGTCTAGACTTCTTGCTCTCAGTTGTGGCTTAATGGTTTAGGTCCTTAGTGAGGTAGAACTTATGGATTTCCCGGTTCATTCCGTTTGAGGAGCAGAGGAGGGTGTGAAAATGCAATTAGCCAGAGAGAGAAAAATGATCACAGCCTTGCATCAGAATGACAGCGGATCGAGATCTGTGTCATCCACGGGGAGGGAGCGAACAGGCTGATTAATGTCGGAGTATTGCTATACCTCAGCCGCTGCTGAAGGGGTGATTGCGTGTTTGTATCGCCTGCTGGGATGCTTCTCGGGAGATGCAGGGCGGGGAGGGGAGGTGCCCCAGCCAGGCCCACGTTAGGAACTTGACGGATGAGGGGGTGGTGTCACGGGAAGCGTGCTGTGTGCTCTCACAGCGCTCACAATGGGTAGGTGTTCACAGTGCCCTCGGACCTGGCTGTTCTCCCTCACTCCGAAGGGGAGTGCCGTGCTCTTACTTCAGGCATTTCGGAGGGTCATTTAAATGTTTTATCTGGGGTCGGGGTGCTAGATGCTGAAAAATGTCTCGGTAAACCTGTCTGCGTCCCAGCAATCTGGATGTCCTTTAGCATAGTAATAGCCATAGTAGTGACGATGACAGCGAGAGAGTAATTAATAGTGTCAAATGCTGCATTAAGCACTTTTACAGGGATTTTTTTGTTCTGACCTGCATCTGTGATGTAGGTGTTATTATAATCTCCATTTTTTTTTTATTAGAGGAGGGAACCCAGACCCAGAGCAACGAAGTACCACGTGACCACATTGCAGCTCGGGAGTATTTGAGGCCTGGTTTGAGCCCCCTGTCGTTTTGACTTCCGAGCCCATGTTAGACCTTAGCTCTTTTGAAAGGAGAGATACAGATCATTTCAATAATATTCCTAGACTGTGAGGCTTACGGAAGCCGTGATGTTAAAAAGAGGGGGCCTCCCCCGGGTGTTGCCTTCCGACTCTCCCGCCCTCTGACCCCCGTAGCTGGTCGGGCTATACTCTATTTCAGATACCAAGATCACTTAGAAACTTCACATTCAGTCCTTCTTTAATTAGCTAATGATAGGAACTGCCTCCGCAGGCCTCAGAACTATTCAGCAGCTCTTTTTATACTTGTTTTTATGGTCTGAGCTCTCTCCTCTTTTAAACTGTGAGTGTTGTATTCCTTTGTTCTTGAAAAGCAAAATTAAAAATGAGAGCACTGTTTCCTTGCGGCAGTCTCTTGTTGTTACAGCTGCTTGGGTGTCAGGGCGTTTTCTCCCTCTCCAAAGCAGTTGATTATTTTCTGCGAACATTTCAATTGCACCAGCATCCTAAGGCTGTTATGAGAGAGGTTATCGGTTTAGAATTGGAAAGAAAGAAAATGCCCTTTAGACAGTTTATATGCTTGTGGAATACACTGACATTTTAAACACTTCTAAATGGTTTCCCCTCTGTCTTGTACCGTGTTTAGCAGATCACTTCTTTCAGAGCAGCTAAGGTGGGGTTTAGGAGTCCTCACATTGTGGTTTCACTTGCTGCCCTTCACGGTTTACGGCCGTCTCTGGCACGATCCCTTGCTGAGCCCTGGAGTTTCCCTTTAGGAGGCGCCGGCCTCATAGCACAGTTTGGGTGAACGCGTCTGAAAGAGAAGTGGACTGTGTTCCTCTGCTGCCGGCTAGATATGTTGCTGTGGCAAGTCGTGTCTCTTCCATTTAAGAGCAAAACAGGCTAACGGTTGTCACTGAGATGCACTCGCAGCTCCTGTCTCAGGACCCTGCCGGTGGAAGTGCAGGTGGCCTCAGCCATCAGCTCCCTCCGGGGCCGCCGCAGCTGCGGGCAAGCCCCCTTGCCCAAGGACAGTGCCCTTCCCAGAGCTGCCCACAGCCAAAGACTGCTTGTGGGAGGAATATAAAGGCCCCACAGTTTGCCCCCAGCCCCCAGCCCCTGCCCACCTGGCTCCAGCTCCCTCATCCCCGCTCCCCCCACACCCCGCCCCGTCCCTCTGGCGAGGTTAAGGCTTTGCTGGGCCTGATTGCAGTTGGTTGACTCCCCCCGCTGCAGCTGCCACCCTCTTCCTTCCATAGGTGCCGATTCTCCCCAAATAACTTGGTTGTCAACCCAACCTCCAAAGGGTCTGTATGCGGCCCTTGCATTGCAGGGCTCTGTATTATGAATGCTGTCCTGGTCAGGAGTGAGGTCAGTCGGCAGTGAGGATACTGTGTCTTCCGTACCTTTTCATATTTTTCTCTGTCCACGAATCCCTGTTAATATAAATGAAGTGAAAGTGATTGAGAATGATAACTCGGTTTATGGCTGTTAGTCCTACTTTGTTCCTGACTGAGTCAAATTTACAGAGTGTTGAAGCATGTCACTTTAATAATTTTGAAGTGTGCCCTTTTGGGCTGTCTGGTGCTGTCTGATTTGCAGAGGGTCGTCTTACATCTGGAGGTGAAGTCGCAGAGCAGCGGCTGCCTCAGGCCATGTGGAGCTGTCTCTGCTCCTTGGGGCTCGGGTGTCGTCCAGGCCGGCTGCACTTTCAGATGAAAACTGGCTGGCAAGGCCCACCTGTCGGAACCTTGGATCACATGCTCTGAAATGGGGCTACAGAGAGCCTTGCCTTGTGCTGAGTACAGATACTCAGTGGAAAGAGGACATCATCACTTTAGGACTCAGGTGGAGAGAGACTTAAGACCCACCTTTCCTTAGGAGTCTGCTGAGTGGAGAAAATACTTACTAGCGTTAACCTTTCTGGCCTAACGACTTGGTACAAGGAAACTGCGAGAAAGCGTGAGATAGCCACAATTGAATTCGCTGGAATGCTTTTAAGGAGCCTAAGAAAGTTGCTGATTCTCTGGTGACTGGGTAGGGCTAAGAAACAGGTTCCATACCCTAGAGAAGTAAGAAGTTGAAATTGTGTGGGGTTTTATGTTAAATGAAATGAAATGATTGGGCCTCGAGGTACAGTGAAAAAAGTACTTAAATTGTTCAAGATACTTTAATCAAGACAACGAATGTGCCAGGACTGTGCCTGTTTCATACTCTTTCTACCTGTAGGAGGTTGATACACAGGCAACCGGGAGACATTAAGGTCTGTGGACGAGGGAGAGTTCCTTCTCTGCTTAGGTTCATAGAAAGCCCAAATTCTTGATACATATATATACTTCATCACATTTGAGAAATTTCAGTAAATTATTTCTTCAGATATTTTCTCTGTTACTCGCTCCCCTTGGGGACTCCAATTACATGTATATTTGGCCACTTGAAATTTTTCCACAGTTCACCGGTGCTCTGTTCACTTTTCTCTCAGTATTCTTTTTTCCTTCTGGGTTTCATTTTAGATAGTTTTCATTGCTGTATCTTTAAATTCATCAATCCTTCTTTTTTCCTCCAATGTCTAATCTGCTGTGAATTCCATCCAGTGTTCTTTTCACCCCATTTTCTAGTTTCAGTTAGTGTCTTTTCATGATCTTCTTTATCTCTACCTAACATGTCCAGTCTTCCCTGCAGCTTTGGGAGTGTACTAAATATCATTATCATGCATATTTCAGTGCCTTTTTCAACTAGTTCTGTCATCTGTGTCATTTCTTGGTGAATTGCTATTTCTTTTCCTCTACTTTATGTTTTTTTCTTCTTCTTCTTTGCATGCCTGATCACTTTCTATAGGATGCCCGATATTGTTAGCTGTACCTCGTAACGCGTTGTATATTTCTGTATTCCTAATACTCTCTCTGAGCTTCATTCTGGGATTACTCAGAAACACTTTGATCCTTCTCATTTCGTTTTAAGCCTTGTTAGGCAGGGCCAGTGTAGGGTTTTAGTCCGGGATTAGCTTTTTCCCACAACCAATTTAAGACCCTTCTTAGTACTGTAACTGAGAACCCATGAACTATGAGGTCTTCCGTGGGGCTGTTTGGGAACTGACCCCTTTCTGGTCTTTGTGAGCTCCCAGCGTTATTCCTGCTAATCCTTTTGTGTGGTCTGTTTCCTGGCCTCGGGGAGTTTCTTCAACACACCTGCACTGACATTTTCATTTGTATTCCATCTTCTGCAGATCTTCAGACCTCTCTCTCTACAGCCCTCTTCTTTCACCCTGACCTGTGAACTCTCAGGACAGACTGTTTCCTCAACCTGGGAAGACCTCTGGGCTCCTCCTGTGTTTTCCTCTCCCGGGGCAGTGTTAGGGCTCATCTTTCAGGGATCAGTGTCCTTGGTTACCTGATATCCAAGGTCTAGTGTGGCATTGTTTCATATATTCTGTCTTTAAAAAAATTATTTTATTTTTTTTTTAGTTTTTTGAAACTGGGGGCTGGTGTTTTTCTTTTCAAAGAAGAATTCGATCTGGAGATAGATAAAATCCTAAAGATGCATTGTTTAGGTCTGGTTTACAAAAGGATTGCCTTATGATTTTTGTTTTTAGAACAATCAGTGAATTGTGCTTTCATGGATCTCTCGGGGTAACTGAAATACACTTATTTTAGACTCTCAGGCTGTTTTATAAAGTTAATCTCCTCTGGGGTGACTCCAGCTTTGGTTGTTGGTTGTGTTGGCTGTCTTACTTAGCAATCACGTAGTTGGAATTATGCTCTGCAGGTCATGTTCAGGGGAAGATTTTTTTTGTTTTTCTCCCTTTCTCTGCTTTCCTCCCTCCTGCCCTCCCCGCTTTGCTTATTTCTCCCCTGTGTGGGGGTTTACACTGAGCTCTTCCGACTTTAAATCCAGAACGAGGTTTTGTAGGGACCTGTCAGATGTACTCACCAGCTCTGATTTAGGGACATGACAGGTCCAGCGCCCAGGGCTTGGCTCTCCAAGCTAACAGCTCTTCAGAGCTACAGCCCCAGGCTGTATTTGGTGACGATTTTTGTCACCCTTCTTTCACCAGCATGGAGCCCATTCCGTCCCAGCTTCTGACTGCAAGCTTTTAGCCTCGCTCAGATGC